TGCTGGAGGAGTTTTGAGTAGGGGACTCCTGCTTAAGTACCTCTAGTGATGGATTTTGGGATGGAGACGTGCAGGGATGGAGAGAGGAGATACTTGAAGAAGCTATGGTTGTGGAGGAACCTTTATGTATTTAAGTAGGGGACTCCTGCTTATTTGCTAGCTCTGGGATCTCCTAGCAAATAATGATTTTACCTTCCTGTGGGTCAGTTTTTGGCTGTCATCCCTGTGCCCAGATGACAGTGTGTGCATGCAGTAAGAGAAGAGAGCGGAGTGTGTGCTGTCCCCAGGTTCCCTGGTAAATGGTCTTTCTGTATTTATACTTCATGCTTTTCAGCTTTTATAAAAGGACTAGAGGCCCAGTGCACAAATTTGTGCATGGGTGGGGTCCCTTGGCCTGGCTGGCAATCAGGGCCCATTGGGGCTGGCCAGGAGGAGGGACAATGGGAGGTTGACCGCTCGGGGGGAGGGACTGCGGAAGGTTGGCTGGCCATGGGAGGTTGGCTGTAAGGGGGCAGCTCCTGCGTTCCCATGCGCTGACTGCGCCTGCCCCGTTCGCACCCACTGAAGGCGTGGAGTGATTGGGGCCGGCGTCATCAGTGGGTGTGAGTGGCAGCTGCTGCCTTGATCGCCCCTCAGGAGCAGGGGGAGGTGGAGAAGCCCTCAGGTGCGATCAGGGCCAGCAGCCACCAGCTCACATCTGCTGATGGTGCCAAGCAATCGGGACTGGCACTGGGCATCAGCATTAGGTGCAAACAGTGGGTCTGGTGCCGGCTGTGGGTGCAAGAGGGGCCAGTGCTGGCAGTGGATGCGAGCAGCGGCTCCAGCACCAGCAGCGGGTGCGAGAGGCAGCTGTGGCCCCGATCGCCCCTCAGGAGCAGGAGGAGGTAGAGAAGCCCTGAGGGGCAATTGGGGCCGGCAGCCACCACTCGCACCCGCTGATGGCGCTGTATGATCGGGACTGGTGCTGTGCGCCGGCAGTTCAGCTCTGGCACCGGCAGCAGGTGTGAGCACTGGGCAGGACTGCGGCACGCAGGAGGAAAGAATTTTCAGTAACCACCACACTCGTCCCGATGACAGTGACCAGCGCCCTGCCTTGGTCTGGCACCCCTGCTCATCTGCTCCACCATCCTGCCACGGCTGACGCCCGCCATATTCCACGCATCCCCCCCTGGTGGTCAGCACAAGTCATAGTGACCGGTTGTTCGATCATTCAGTTGTTCAGTTGTTTGGTCTATTTGCATATTAGCCTTTTATTATATAGGATTGCATTGTAATAGTTTTGCTGTGTCTGGTAAGACAAACCCCCTCCTTTTTTTTTCTTTTTGCAAGTCTTTTTTTGCTCCTCTTTAGATTCCCTATTCAAGGTTGTGGTTAGAATTACATTAAATTTGAAGATCAATTTGAGGACTTCTTGCATATATCTTACTAAACTTATTTCTAGATATTTTACAATTGTTTAATGATATCTTAATAAGCCTACACTTTCTACCTGTTCCAAGGAAATTGCTTTTAAGGTTCACCATTAAGCACATTTGCTACATTTTTATAAATCAGCGGTTTGCAACCTGTGGGTGTGACCCCTTTGGCGGTCGAATGACCCTTTCACAGGGGTCGCCTAAGACCATCCTGCATATCAGACATTTACATTATGATTCATAACAGTAGCAACATTACAGTTATGAAGTAGCAACAAAAATCATTTTATGGTTGGGTCACACATGAGGAACTGTATTTAAAGGGCCAGAAGGTTGAGAACCACTGTAAATGCTTTATTCAGATAAGAAATTTCTTTTTATTCTTAGACTTCTAATGTTTTCTTAAATTTTTATCTGCCTCTATAAAATTAAAATGGTGATGTGCTTTTTTTCTACTTCAATTTTTTTTTTTTTAATGTGGTGCCTAATTGACTTTGGCAGTGCTGCAGGTGACAGGTGGTGCTAGTTTGTCCTCAGTGAGCTGACAAGATCTTCTCTTGCCCTAGGTCCTCAGATGTGAGACCCTTGCCCTGTCCCCAGGTTCTCAATTGGGGAATAGATGGCACGATTGGAGTAAAAGCAGACCAGGCCGAGAGACCCCACTGGTGCACAAATTCGTGCACTGGACCTCTAGTCTATATACTATATAAAAACCTAGGCGACCAGCCAGGCCAGGCTGAGGCACCTCACTGGTGCATGATTAGGGCTGGGGAGGTATGTGGGAGGTTGGCCAGCCAGGGCAGGACCGTGGGAAGGCCCCAGGGCATGTCCAGCCCGTTTCACTCAGTCCTGATTGGCTGGACCCCAGCAGCATGTTTGGTGGGAGCAGTGGTGGTGGCAGGCGCAGTGGGCCAGGATGAGTGGTTCAGCGCTGGGGCCCCGGCTCGGGCTCCTCCCCAGCCGCCTGCCACTTTGCGCACTGCTACATCCCTCGGGGACTGTTGGACTGCCTGTTTAGGCCCAATTGCCACAGGCCTGGCCTCTTAGTATTTTATAGTTTTGGTGTACAAATATTGTTTTTGTTTTGTTAAATATTTTTAGTAAGTATTCTTTTTGATGGCTATTATAAATGGAATTGTCTTCTTATTTCATTTCAGGATTATTTATTGCTAGTAGATAGAAATAGATCATTTTTAATATTGATTTTATATATTATAATCTTGCTAAACGTGTTTATGTTGGTAGTTTATTGTTCTTTATTCTTTAGGATTTCCTACATATAAGAACATATCTTTTGTAATAGATATGGTTTTACCTCTTCTTCTTTCCCAGTCTGGATGTCTTTTATTTTTCTTGCCTAACTCCCCTGGCTAGAACCTTTAATACTATGTTGAGTAGAAGTGGCAAGAGCAAATAGCTCTGTCTTTTACTCATCTTAGAAGGGGAAAGTGTTCAGCTTTTCACCATTAAGTATGATTTAAGCTGTGGGTTTGTTTGTTTGTTTTTTATAAGTGCTCTTTATCAGGTTGAGGATGTTTATTACTAATGAATTGGATTTTTTAAATAAAAAAAATGGGTGTTATTAACTTCTTTGAATTTGAGATGATCATGTGCTTTTTTTCTTTCAATTAACTAATGTGGTGTGTTATATTGATTAATTTTCAGATGTTAAACAAACCTTATATTCCAGAGGTAAATCCAACTTGGTTGTGATGTATAATCCTTTTTATGTGTTGCTAGATTTGGTTTGTAATACTTCATTGAGGATTTTTTGTATCTTTATTCATAAGGAATGTTGGTATATATTCTTGTGATGTCTCTGATTGGTATTGGTATTAGGATAATAGTGGCCTCATAGAATGATTTGAGAAGTTTTTTCTTTTTTTTGGAGGGGGGTGTAAAATTGGGTAAAATTTTAAAGTGGAAAACAAATACACTATACAACTTGAAAGAGGTTTGAAGCAAACTGTGCCATGAGCAGATTTTCTTTAAGTAGCTAAACAAGGTTTAAAAAGCAAGTAACAATAAAAGAAAATGTTTCTGGTTTAGGACCAGCAGTATTAAAAAATAGCATGTGAGTACCTGGATAATACACCTGTTTTGCAGTAGTGCAACTTTTAAGTGCATATTGTTGACCATCCATAGTCCATGCAGAGTTACAACCCTACATTTCACCAACAACATGCTGACAGTTCCTAAAGAAAAACTACTTTAGAAAAAGGCATAAGCCAGATGTTCCCTCATGTGACCAACTCCACCTAAGTTTAGGTGTGCAGAGGACTTAGGTATATCCAGAGTAAGCCACAAACAACATGTTTGATCAATTATTTTATTTTTTTACTCATTTTTAGAGATGGGGGGAGGGTAGAAGGGGGTCAAGAGGGAGGGAGGGAGGGAAATAGGGATAAAAGGAGGGAGGAAAGAAGATAGGAAAAGAGAGAGAAAGAGAGAAACATTGATTTGTTGTTCCACTTACTCATGCAATCATTCATTGGTTGATTTCTGTATGTGCCCTGACCCAGGATTGAACCCGCGACCCTGGCGTGTAGAGACAACACTCAAACCAACTGAGCTACCTGGCCAGGACTTGATCTATATTTCTAAAATAAGGTTGCAGGACAATGATAAGTAAGATAAACAAAGAAAACATGGAGGAATGAAGTTCTAATTACTATACATGCATATTTATTGACAGTAGAGGGAAACCTTTTACAGATAAGTTACAAAGAAAAGACAATAAATAATTTTGTACAATAAATTGAACACATTCTGTACAGATGTTGTCACTTTGCTGTCATCATTTGTACAACTCTTCATAGTTTACTTGACCATCGCCATCAGTATCTGCTTCCCTGATCATTTCATCATCATCATTTTCATCTGTTAATTTCTCTCCAAGGTGTGTCATCACATGTTGAAGCTCTGCTGCACTAACATAGCCATTGCCATCCTAATCAAACACACAGATACTTCTCTAATTTTTTTCTTCACTGTCTTTTATTTTTTTTGCCATCATTGTCAGAAGTTTCAGGAAGTCAGTTGTACCATTACCCTCAGCATCTATTTCAGTAATCATGTCCTATAACTGCCTCTGTGGGATTCTGTCCAAGAGACCTCTTACAGTTCCCAATTCCTTTGTTGTTATAGTTTCATCACCACCTTTATCAAATAAAAGCTGCTTTGAATTCTGCAATCTGCTCTTGAGTCAGTTTGTCAGCCTTCCATGCTGCAAGTACTGTTGGTTTCCCATATGTGACCAAATAGCCACTCAGCTCACTTGCTCCCCTCGGACTCGAGAAGTTTTTCTTATGCTTCCATTTTATTAAAGAGTTTGTGAAGGATTAATATTAATTCTTCTTTAAACATTTGGTAGAATATATCTGGGTCTGCGCTTTTCTTTGTGGGAAGTTTTAAAATTACGAATTTAATGTAATATTTTTGTTAAGACTAATTATAAGTGAACATTCATCTTGCAAATACCAATTGATATTTGATTATTCAGCCAACTTTTCTCCCGTGTAATATTCAAATAGATAGAGATTTTTGATATACTTACTTTTAATTTTATTTTTTCTTCTGTTAAAGGTCTGTAATTACTTTGGAATCAGTAAGCCATGGCATCAAAGAAATTTGCTATTAAAGTAAGTAATGCTTAATAATCTTCTTTAAAACGATTAATCGCTTTCTGGTATAGCTAAGTTCTATGTTAATTGAAAGTAGAAGCTCTGAACTTTTCTTCTACTCTTTAAATTTGGTTCTCCACTGAAAACTTTAAATAGGGGATTGAAAATTTTCATGTTTAGAATGAAAAGGGGGAGAAAATTTGTAGTTTATATGATTATGGGAGTTGCTGACTTTTGACCAAAAGGCATTACTCGGTCCTTAATTTAAAAATTATCATTCACATTGTATGTTCATGACATAATTTTTTATTCTGACAAGCAGATGAAAATGAAAAAGTAGGCATCAAATGTTGCACCTGGTGAATGCCATGGGAGAGTTCTCTTGCCTGGCTGCCCTGTTTTGCTTTCCTCTTACAAGTGTCTCTTCTCTATCCCTTAATGTTTGGCACTGGGAGGATTGTGTATGTGGGAAGGAGGTGGGAAGAACTGATAAATAGTGGGTATAAGGTCTCAGAGACGCTTTCATATATATTGGCTCATTTTTAAGGGCATTTTCTCTATGCTACATTTTATTTAGTATGAATTCAAAACACCAAAATAGACAAATTAGTTAACCAGGTCAGATACTATTTAAAATTATAATTGTATCTTTTTAGCATGTCAGTGCTTATTTAGATTTACAACATATTTATAAATTTTATTGCTTATAGTCATTTCTTACTGGTATACTAATTGTTCTGTAGTATTTCTCTCTGTGAGAGATTATTAAGTGTGAACTTTCACTATTTGTATAAAAATATATTTTGATCTTACTCTAGAAAATCATATAGTTTGTTATAGAATTCTAGGTTGAGCGTTATTTTTCCTCAACACTTTAGAGATATTTTTCCATTATCTTCTGTAATCTACTATTGCAACTGAAAAATGTTTTAATTATCAATTTAAAATTTACATTTAGTGTCTTAAAAAATGAGCCATTTTGTTCTTTCTCATGAGTCTGTAAGTTGCCTGGTATCAGTGGGGTCGTTTCTCTTTTTGATGTTGCCTGGGGCTACAGTTATCTGGGGACTCAATTCAGATAGACCATCAAAGAT